TGTATTCTTGCTGCCCTATTATAACCCTTAACAAAGATTATTCACGTAAGAAACAGCTATTACAAAGAGATCTCTTTTGTTTACATTTTTAACCTAGGCTAGGACTGTTTCATCTCTTTGCAGCAGCGATTGTTTTGCGCATTGAAGAACATTGTTTTCTTGTTTAAAAAATGTTTGAATAAGCTTATATCTTAGAAATATAGTATAGAAAAACAGCAGTAATCACACTACATAATGTCAGTCCCGTCAGTTTGTATCTCAGATTAGTTAATTTTATTTGAAGATATACATATTTCAAAATTCAAAAGTTTTGAAGTAAAATTAAATTGATTTTCGCATTTCTCGTCAAAAATATTGTTCGTATTTTCAAAGCTGCATATTTTCTAAAATAATGAATCGATTTTCAGAAAGTAAGAATCGATGTATAGAGAATTAAAAGCCCTTTCTAATGACCCCCACTTGACCCCTATCCCCATTTGAAAAAATTTAGGGGATAGCACCCCCACTTAGGGGGTTGAAGATTTTGGTATGCTTTTTGAGCCAAAAGTTGTCCCCTTCAGAAACAAATTTGACCTGTTTTTGGATTTTGCCGAAAAGTTCTTTACTACCCTGTAATGCCTTGCGGTACGTTTTCGATGGGCTGCCCTGTATGTATTTCAAAAAGTAACAACTATATCTTTATTTCGAACAAGTTATTAGGCAGTTGTCAATTTGGCTTTAGAGAAGGTCTTTCGACAGTGCATGCCATTTCCCAAGTTGTGAATTGCGTGGTAGAGAGAGCTGGTTGGGCTTACCTTATGTGATCTTAGCAAGGCCTTTGATTGCATTTCTCATGATCTCCTCATTGAGAAACTTTTCCGTTATGGTGTTAGGAGAATGCAGTTAGAACTATTCAAATCTTACCTTACTTCTAGAAAGCAATGTGTTGCTCTAAAAAATGATAGATCTGATTTAACTGCAGTAGAGAGCGGGGTACTTTAAGGTTCGGTTTCGGGGCCCCTACTCTTTATAATTTATATGAATGACCTTTCTCTCTATTTGTCTCCTGAGAGGTGTATTCTCTACGCTGACGATACACCCTTGATTTGTAGCAATAATAATGCAGTTTCCTTACAATTTGATGTAAATGTATGAGAAAATAAAGCCATTGAGTGGTTCGCAAATAATAATCTTAAATTAGATTTGGATAAAACCCAACATATAATGTTTTCCTCGGATAATAATATAACAAACGTATCCACAGTAGAATTATTGGGTTTGACTATTGATGATAGGTTATGTTGGTCACCTTGTTCATTCTTTAAAGAAAAAAACTGTCGTTTGTTTCTTTTACTATTCGTAAATTAAAGCCAAATTTTAGTCAAAGTGCTCTCTTAAAAGTATATTTTTCATTGTTCCACTCTCATTTATGTTACGGTATTACTCTCTGGGGTAACTGGGTTAGAATGCAAAAAAAGATTACTATAAGGTTTATTGCTAACGCAAAGTTTTTGGTCCACTGTCAGCCTTATTTTAAAACACTGCAACTCTAATGTACATTATCATAATACTCGACATACTGGTTATTTGCGACCGCCTCGTTTTCGACTAAATCTATCATTCAGAAATGCACCTCAGCTAAATCTTTACACTGTTTTACCTGATGCTGTAAAAGAGTTAAACTCTTGCAAATTTAAATTAAATATCAGGAAATATCTTCTAGAAAATTGTTTTTATTCGGTGCAGGAGTATCTGAGTGCTACCACCAGGATTTTTAATTTTTAATTTTTTGTTGTCTTGATTATTTTAATTGTACTTTAGTCGTAATGTAAGTTTTGTTACTCTGTTATTTTTTGTTTTATACATTGTGCATTATTGAGTTTTTTTTTATTATTTATATATGTTTGACTAACTACAATAACTGTACTATTTGATATATGTTTGACTTACTACAATTGTACCTCTTTGTATAAAAAGTAGTTAATAAATGATCTAATATATCTATCTGTCTATCTATCTATATATCTTAGGATAGAAATGAACATGTTTTGCACCATTATAAGTATATCGCTGTATGAATTTATTTAAGCATACTGTCCTTCCACCATATACATAGTTATATAATTCAAATTAGGTTTCATAATATCGCTATTTTATAATAATTGCCCCATACCCATATAACTGTCACCGATGACGAATAACTGTGTGAAATATATTTGATACTGACATATAAATGTTTTCCGAAAAGTTTTCTAAAATAGAATTGACAAATAATTAACATTTTGTGAAATAGAATTAACTAGTCCGAGATAGAAATAACGTCTTGAACAGGAAAGTGAAATGACATTTTGTGAAATTAATTCATTGTTTCCAAAAGGCTTCGGAAAAAGTATAAAATTACATAATCCTACAAAAAAAGTTCTGTGCCAGAAGACTTGAGATATAGATTTTGTGTATTTTTGAATGCTGAATTCACAGCCCGATTTACCAGGTAATTTTTTAGAATAACGGTAAAATGTCCCCTAAAATAGGGTGAAATCATGAGGATAATATAAAGCTTTATAAAGAAAAGCAACAATTTTTAGATACTATGAGAAAAAATAATAATTTTAAAATAATATTTTGACCAATGGAAAAAATATATGCAAATTAAATCCACACCCACCCCTACAAGGGGGTTAATACGATGCCTAAAATCAAATAAAGAATATTAGTGCAAAACAATGTGAAAAACCATAGCCTTGTATTTTATACTACCAAATATTGACAATAAATGTAGGTTGATAGACAACATGCCAAAAAATATAACTTATCCCTCAAAGGGTTGGAAAACCATCTACAGACCAGAGTCCCACTTAGGTACTCCTTTAAGTCACACATTTTTCTGTTCAATATTTTTATCGCAGGTTTTTGGGGTCACTGATTACGAATCCGGGACAGTTTGCTACTGGAATAAACAAATTTATATTTCTAGTTCAAATATTACTCATTTTGGGAGTCTTATATTTCCCATTTAAACGTATGATGATATCACTCCCTGCTGGGATTGGTAAGAGTATTTGAAAGAGACAGCATACCGCAAGTCGAATTTATATTCTTAGTTTCTCATTTTTACATATACACATTTTTACTGAAACGACTGAATTTTTTAAATATTCATAAAGCATTTCTTTGGGTGATAAATACCAATTCCTATGGTACCTACTTTTCAATCCGCCATAATGGGTCCATGAGGGAGTGTTTTTAGCCGTATTTGTCATTTTAAATAAGTAGATACAAGACAACTCTGAAAAGTAATAAGTCACACAATAAGGTTAACGTACTTACTTACGTACTACAAACTGAATAATTACCTGAACATATGTAATAGGTACTAAAAATTCATATTCAGTTATAAAACAGTGAAAACATTAAGAATATTAAAGTTAGGTTAGGTTTTCCCATTTTTCCCTACCTTTCTTTAAAATTAATGACATTATTTATGACTGAATCACCCTGTATATTAGTTTTACCTCGTCCTCACTAGTTCATCCTATTTTGGGGGATGTTTTAGCGTTCTACTAAAAAATGACATGGTAAATCGGATTTTGGGCTACGCATTCGGGTTCAGCATCAAAAAAGACACAAAATCTACATGTGTCCCATTTTTCAGGTTAACACCTCTGAAAGTGTGAGAAGGCTGTGAAATTTCCGCAAGCCATTTTTTTACAAATACATAGTACCATGAAGGGAGGGGGGGTTATATTCTACTAATCATTTTATTGATGTAACAAAAGCCTGGCCTACTACGATTTTTAAAAGGGTCGTTTTTCCAGAAAGTGGTATTGGGCTTTTTTTATCAGAAAGATAATATTACCAGGCTATTCAACATCCATCAAAATACCCACATACCAAATTTGAACAACAAATGTCTATGGAGTGTTTTTTTACGTGGTGCCAAACTTCGAAAAATTAGACAACTAAACATTATAATAAGCAGGTCAAAGATTGCCATGAAAGTGAAAACAAATGCCTATCGGACAAAGAAAAAATACTTTACAACGGCTATGTAAATTATTTTTAAATTTAAGAAGAGGATTGGAAAAATGTGTTCGACTGAAAGGAGTTTTTAGTGGAGAAAAACTAAAACTTAATTTAGATTAACGTTTTGCAATTTTTTGTTTAACTTAGTATTTATAAATCATTAAATTTTTTTGTAAGTTATTATTTTCATAATTAATTAATAATTAATTAATATAACTAAAAGTATTTTTTCTTTATCCGATAGGTATTTTTTTTCACTTTCATGGCAATCTTTGACCTGCTTATTATAATTTTTAGTTGTCCGATTTTTCGAAGTTTGACACTACATAAAAAAAACACTCAATAGACATTTGTCGTTCAAATTTGGTATATGGGTATTTTAATGAGTGTTGAATAGCCTGGTAATATTATATTTTTAATTAAAAAATGCCTAATACTACTTTCTGGAAATAAGACCCTTTTAAAAAATCGCAGTAGGCCAGTCTTTTGTCACATCAATAAAATGATTAGTAGAATATAACCTCCCTTCAGGGTACTATTTGTAAAAAAATTGGCTTGCGGAAATTCCACAGTCTTCTCACATCGAAGAAACATCAATTTTCAAGGCTTGATTACATGGAAACGGTTCGTCTGCCGAAAATTTTCAATCAGACCTTTTTTGTAGGGCATTCAATTTCCTTCAAAAATATGTAGATAATTTTTTTTACTTCGATGGTTTGGCAGTTTTGACACAAAAATGGGATCAGGAATAAAAAATCGAAACTAGACCTATTAAAACTAATATTAAAGGTTCAAACTCTCACGATATATTTTTTTCGTCATTCTGAATGATATTCTCTATATATCTTTCAAAAAAATATATAAATAGTCGATTTTTTTGACCCAGTACCTAGGTACGTCTCTGGTACAGAAATTTTTTTTGTGGCGCTGTGTTATTGAGGACTATTACTGAGGGTACATTTTATTTAACATTATCAATAAACTTTTACTTTTTTTAGGATCTCATTCACTCATCATTCCCGACGAGCTACCTTCGATATTATCCGTAATATATTCAAATATTCCAACGATAAAGAAAGGTGAGTATTCAAGGTCATCCGACACATAATTATAACACTTTATATAACATATTTGCAGGCTTCGAAGTATAATTTACTCGATGAATGAATTACCTATATAACTCCTTACGAAACAATTACTTTTTTTTCTGATAATAAACAGCCTTCGATTGGACACGGTCCACAGGAACCAATTTGCTTGTTGGGCAACGATGGCCACACTAGATCTACAATCCATTAACGTCAGTCGCTTCGGTGATGGCAACTGTTGCTTTTGGAGTGCTGCCTAGCTTTCAATTATTTCGATTCAAAACAATTCCGAATCAGTTTCATTAAAAACTTTCTCGTGGTAAAAGCATAGCGAAAACGAAAGCATCTGTATATCATTCACTTACGTCACATCAGATACCGTTTTTAATGCAATTCTATTTTTTTGTTTTCAGTAGCATTTTTCTAATATTTCGAAGCGTTTTTGGAAAATAAATCATTTACAGTGCTAGTGTTCAAAGGAAATTTCTCCTTTGAACAAAAAAATACACTACTTTTTCTACAAACACTAAAGTAGCCAACTGCTCTGCGGGCTAAAGGTCCCTACAGCATTGAAAGGAATTATTTAGACCGATTTCGAACTTATTAGTTGTCATGGATACAGGGTGGTCCCGAGGTAATGAGCCAAAATTCATGGGTAGGTTCCCCAAAAATATTGTGATTTAGCCTAACTTACCTTAGTCCAAAAGTTGATAGTTAGAGAGATACAGGGTATTAAATGTAAAATTTTATTTTAGTTGTTTTCATTTATTTCTTAATAAATGCAAATATCCACAAAAAATTTTGAAATTTGGAGTTCTTTGGGTCGAGGAATTTAAATCTGTTCATATTTTGGTTATAATTCATAGAGGGCGCTAGCTGCAGTAGATTGAATGTGTTAAAAACGACATAACCTTTTTATAGGTTATCTTCAATCAATCTCATCTTTGATATCAAATTCTTATTATCCAACTTTTTTTACACAAAAAAGGTATTATTTATGAAAGTAGCTGTCTCGCACCGTTTTCGAGATATTTGGCTTTGAAACTTCCAATAATAAAATTGAAATAATTAAACTAATTTAGAAATGCCAAAAACAAGGATTTATTTAGGATTATAAATTGTAAAGAAGAGTAAAATAGTAAATATTGGTAAAAATATGCCTTTTTGACAATAATTGCTCAAAATGTCTACCTTTAACTTCAATATATTTATCAACGTGTTTATTAAGAGATTATTTTATTTTAAAGTATAAATCTTCATCACGAAATGGCAACATTTAAAATCTGCTGCCAAAGTTCTTCCCGAGTATTTATAAATTCTCCATAAAACCCTGATTTCATGTAACCCGAAAAACAAAAGTCCATGGGGTTTAAATCAGGTCTGCGAGGGAAGCCATGCCATTCGACTTCCACGACCTATCCAACGATCTGGAAAGGTTTGATCAAGATAGCGTACTTGGACAGAAAAATTAACACATCTTGCATGAAGCACCTAGAGATTCTGCCGTAAATTTAATGATAAATTATCCAGGTAATTAACTAAATGGTGCTGCAGGAAATCAATACGAGTCACCGTTTAAATTCGGAGGAAGTTCATGTGGATCCAGAAGGTGGTTCCTTATAATTCCACATTAAACATTTTCATTATTCCATATGTGCTTGTTTCTAAAATTGAAAACTCTTCGACGAGTAAAGGTGGCCTCATCGGTAAATAGCACATTATTTATAAATTCATAGTTAAGGTTTTGCCGAGTGCGCATAAAATGAGCAAACTGAGGTCTGGTCGAACTAAATGTGGAGGTGGTAGAAATGTATATGCCCAGTTGAAGACTGCGCGGGCGGGCAAACGGCGTATAACACAGCTGCACTAGGCGACTGGGCAATAAATCTCAGTTGTTGACAAGTGGTTGACAAATTGCCTAGCAGTGCAGTGCAGCAATGCGAAATTTGGTGTAATTCATGTAATTTTAATTTATTATATGCACCTTCTATTATTCATTCATATTACAATTGCGAAAGAGAGAAATAAGAGGGATATTTTGTTTACTAATAAAAGGAGACCTTTTGAAACGGAAAAAAACGAAATTAACATCAATATAATAAAACTGTTTGAGGACATAAATAATTAAAATATGTTGTTGGCCAAATTAACATATAATAGAAATTCTCTACACATTATATACAAATTATTATAATTTTTTACCTTTAGCAGAAAACTTTTCTAGGGACGCCTATGAAACTCATAAAATTTTATTGCTAGGCGTTTTCATACATGTTCAACTGACTTCGGAAAGACTATAAAAGCTTTTGGACTAGTATAAAATGATAGGGTTACAACTTTTCCTTGTAAAAGATTTTTGGGACTGCTGTTTTACTTACACCGGTGGTTCTAGCTATTTGTCTATACTAACTTCTGAATTTTCTGCCACCCGAGTTAAAATTTTTTCTTCTTGGTCTACTGTAATAGTGCCACATTGTCCCTTTTAGGACGAAAAATGCCAGTCTCTCTAAGTCAACTAAAAAGGTCTTGAAATAGCTTTCGATTTGGCTGCCTCCTATTTGGATATAATTCTAAATACCAACGAGACGCTCTACATCCAACAAAATCTGTTTGGCATAAACGCAGATCATATCGCGCGTTTCTTCATTTGAAAATAAATTATGTCTCGGCATTTTATCTCACATGTAAGTACGTACAATTTAAACTGTAAGCTAAGATGTACCTAATTTGAATTAGGTACGAATAATACTGAATGGAAAGTAGCATACAAATGACAGCGATAAGACAAGTGAAAAACGTCAATTATTTGATTTTCGTCTAAAGCCTGCTTAAGAAACTTTACCACTAAATTAATAATAGGTACTTAATTGTAATTGAATGTAACAACATTGGAAGTTTCAAAGCCAAGTATCTCGAAAACGGTACGAGGTACTTTCATAAAGTATATCTTTTTTGAATAAAAAAATAATTTGATACCAAAGGTGGGATAACTTAAAAAGTATAACAAAGTTATATCGTTTTTAACTCATTCAATCTACTGCAGCTAGCGCCCTCTACGAACTTTAACCAAAATGTGAACAGATTTCAATTCCTCTACTCAAAGAACTCCAATCCACCAAATTTTGTGAGGATATTTACATTTGTTAAGGAATAAATTAAAAAAAAACTGAAATAATATTATACATTTAACACCATGCATCTCCTTAACTATCAACTTTTGGACTAAGGTAAGTTAGGCTAAATCGCAATATATTTGCTTCGGGAATCTACTCATGAATTTTGGCCTATTATCTTGGGACTACCCTGTATATTCACGAACAATTTAGATGTCTATCTATCGACTTGTTTTTAGTTTATGTCACAGTAGCAATGAAAAAAATATAACATCTAGTAAATGTTGTCGACTGTTAATTACAGAGAGACAGTTTCATCAAATACAAAAAAACAGACCACATCAAAAGGCTACAGTAGCGTAACGTTTTTAAAGGGTCGTTTTTGAAATGAAACAAATATTTTTCCAATATTCAATATGGTAAAAACCTAGTTGCCATAGACTTACATGTAATATACTATTACTAAATCATATTTTAACACAATATTGGATTGTTACTTGAAATTCATTTAGAAAAACTATTGAAATAGATCTGACTTTACCATGTATGGTAAGAGTTTTTGTTACCCTTGTGGCTTTTACACTTTTATACCAGACTACTTAGCATTAGTTCTGTCACATAGCAAACGTATTAAGTGTTGTTCCACTCTGTGTGAATAATTGCAGTAGAGAAACTATCATTTATTGACTCTTATTGGTTCAAAATGTTAGTGGTGGTTAACATGATTATGTGATGTACCTATGTCTGCAGATAGTTTAACAACATACTAAATATTTCTCAAATTAAGCCTTTTCTGTGAATGTATCTGCCACCACAACGACTTAAAACTCATTACAACAATAATTTGTTCAGGTACATACATACTTCATTTAAGCTACACAGAAAAGGCTGAAGAATGAACAAACAGAGCAAAATATATTCAAAACGTGACATAAAAAATATGTATGCATTTTTTCCAGGGACGGACTCAAGGATAGGATGGGGCTTTAGACTAGGAAACAGGGCAGATTTCCAGGTCCTGGTGGAGTTAGGACCACAGACTAACACCCAGCCCCTGGCCAACCAAGGCGACGGTAACAGGAAGAGGAACGCACTCAATAACCTAGCCAACACTTTGTATGCCCAACGGCAGAAAGACAAAAGGATTAAAGAAGAAGAAGAGAAGAGGATCAAAGAGCAGGAGAACCTAACGACTAATGACGAGAGTGAGGTACGTACTAAGATTTTTCAACGGCATGAACTTATTATATTATAATGTGACCATAGTATAAAATAAATTTAATTACATACCTATAGTACTATCGTATTCGATGCAAAGTAATAAATCATTGCCTGTCAAGGGAATCAGTGCAACACATTTTATAGGGGGTTTTGGAAATTGAATAATTTCTTTATGCATTATGGATTAACAGTTATATATTTATGAAGGACAAAATGAAAAACAAAGGCATCTCCTTCGCACATTGGGCGGCAGGACAACAATACATTTATTACTCCCTTCATTATCCCTCACATGACTTGTGTCTTGTGTTTTTTGCGGCGGCACGCGTGCCGGCCGGGCGTGGTCAGTTTCGTTTCGGTTGTATTGGTGCTGCGTGTTTCTCGCTCGCGATATTTGTGAGGTTATAACTGTTATAAGTGCAATTATATTTCTTTCGGGCTATATGTGTGTTTCGCGCTATTATTTGAGAATTTGTGAGTGAAATCATATTTCTTGTGCTCCGTAACAAAAGTGTTTTTAGTGTTTTATTTGTGTGCTGTGTGTGTGTTTCGGGCTGTTGTTTGTGAATCGTGAATGCTATTATATTTTCTGTGCTAGTGAAGTGAAGTTTTTTGTATTATTATTGCTCTGTTGTCGTTATATGGATAAATGGAGGCGGTGCCTGGATGTTCGCGAGCCGGATGTACTGCTGTGGGTACAAAAAAAATCTATATTAAGTTACAGAGAAAAAACGATAATATTAAATGTCTATAACCCTTTAGAAAAGGATCATCCCATGAAACTGAAGACTGGTTTGGTGGAAATGTGTTCTGGATATACTGGAGTAAGCGAATTATCTGTTTTCAAAATTTTAAGAGAGAAGAAAATTGAAGGAGACGTTAAGAAACCTAAAAAATGGGGTGCAAAGAAGAAATTAATATTAAATGAAGATGAGAAAAATGCAGTTTGGCGTACAGTACATAAATCATAGAATTTATATTTTGTTTATAATTTGTTAACATTTCTTGTTTGATAGAAAAATAACTTATTTTGTTGAGATTGGTAGAGAATTGTTGTTAGTGTTTTCATTTGATAGAATCATATCATAGGATTTATATTTTGTTTTCATTCTGTAAATATTTATAGTATATCTGTTATACAAGGTTTTTGCTTTGAAACTTCGTTCTCCTTATAAAAAAAAGAATCGTAATGGGGTGCGATGAAGAGATCAGTTCACGTCTGGAACCCTGTTCCTACAAAAATCCCTTTATTCTCATAAACTATTTGTTTTCAATGTAATTTATTATAAATCCAATTCGTTATTTAAATTCCACATATGTACTACATTTCACCTCTGTACGCGCCACTGTTTATTGTTCCCTGCTCTACGATCAAGCTCGCCAGGTTAGTATTTGACGTATAACCGACCACTTCGTACACTCGATGCACCTGGCCGACTACAGCTAGTACCAGAACACAGTGCGTATGCGGCGGTATTTCAGATTCTACATTCAATTTCATTTTAAATTTGAAACGGTTCATCTTACGCCTCCTAAAAATGATGACACGATTTTCCTTGCTCTACTTTGCATCGTATACGATCGTACTATATTATTGATCAATATTTTGCAAAAACTAAGTGCTTTTTCTATCGAGCCCTGTATATGTATCTCTATTAAACACATAACTGTACAATTTAGAAGTGTTGCAAGAATAGACAATTATAGTAAGGGGTGTTCCAAAAGTAACGCAGAATTTGAATTGTGCGCCATTTTCATTCCGAAGAGTTGACAGCATTACGTAGGGCCATATGTTGTAGTAAACACGTTACGGTTAGACAAAATGGAGCGTTATACGACAGATGAGCGAGTGAAGATTGTGAAAACTCATTACAAGTACGGAGAGTATGTAGCTGAGATTATGCGCAAATTACGTAAAATTTTCGGTAGAAGGAACGCTCCGAATGAAACAGCTGTGAAAAGATTACCTAACTGCCAGATCCGAACAAACAAGTTCGGTTGCACACAATAAAAAAAACATACGATCTTACGAACTTTTTTATTAATAAAATCTTTTTTCCTCGTATGAAATCCTGTGTTTCTTTTGGGACGCCCTTTAATACTCAAAATTTCAACTTTCTAGAGAGCAAGGGACAAATTTCCGCGCTACTGATTACAGATTATTAATTAAGTACATCGTGTTTAAAGTTGTATTTGTAATTTACTAAAACTTACCGTATATCTGAAAGGGACAGTTTCGGAATTAATTTCAAATCATTAAAACTGTGTGTAAATTCATTTTTTGCTATAAAAAATAACTCGAAAATGATCTCGCTTTTGTTTTGAATATTTTTTTTTCCCGAAAGATCAACTGCCATTCAAATAACTAACGAAATGTATAAAATACTCATAAAATTGATTTGATCCAACTTTTACTTGAAACACTTTTTGTTTTATTATTGATATTACTAGACTATAAAAGAGTACGTCCTAAATGTAACACTCTGTATGTTGATATAATTATTAACAAATCCAATGAATGTTTACATTTATCTATGTAGTTGTATTAATCAAGTTTTCTCAGTTTACGTCACATAATCTATCGAGATATATGCGTGGAATTGAAATTTTTCAAAAATTTTAACACCCTGTATTTCCAAAACTAATCTGTTTATTATATAAATTCGCAAATTTTGTTTTTCTTTAAAATAATCTAAAGAATCACCTTCTTTATTATCGAAACGTACTTAAATATCACCTCTTACGTAGATATCAATGACACAATACTCTCTAGCTGTATAAATCCAAGTCAAAAAAGAAAAAGAAACATGGATACTCCCGCAAAGCTTAAAAAGTACTAATTACTCCCCATGAGCTACTATAATACCACAACGTTCAAAGCACCCAGTTAATTATTTATAACGCTCACGATCTCTACTTTGTATTGTACAAAAGTTATACTCCAGTCGAATTAGATGAATTGAAAACATTATTAATAGGCATTTCATTGCACTTCATGATGGGGAAAGGTATGTAGAATGATAATATCAAAAAACTAACTCGAAAGAATTAACGTTAAGTTGGCAAATTGCAAGTAGATGGCAAATTTACGGGTTTTTTCACTTTTTATTTACTACCCATGAAAATCTATATGACCTATCGGAAAACTAGTTACTTTATGTTGTAGACAATTAAATTACCTACAATTTAATGTACCTGAAATCACTTTTCACCTATTTGTTAACTATAAAATCAAGGTCAAACGCAGAAATATCAGTTTTCGAAAATTGTGCATTATTATTGCAAAAAGCAATAGATGTTGATGAAATTTATGGAAAAGACGGTCAATCCAATGACCAACATGTGTACCAAAAGCCGATTCAATTGACCCTGAAATTGTTACTCCAGGTATTTGTTAATTAATTTCGTTGTTTTTTTTTGCAACTAATTGTTTAATTAGTATTAGTAGCTATAGATTCTAATTGATCCAAAGAAGCGTATCGAGAAAAAAAAATCAAAAAGTAGAAATTAAGTTGCTTTTTACAACTAACAAAGTAGGACGTGCAAAATCGCGTTATAAACAAATTATCCCAGGGTCGATCAAAAACCGCTCGGGAATTCGCCCTTTTTGCATTAAATGGAGCTCATTTTCGCATACAGCTTTTTTTTATAATGTTAATTGTTAATTAACGTATTGGACGAGGATTTTAGAGACAATTAAAGAAAGGGTTAAACTTTTATTTTCAAAAAGTTTTACATTGATAGTTCATGTAATAAATAGATTTTTGACTTGAACACTTCAAATTGCGCGGGACCAAGGCTCCTTTTTCCGCGTGCAGGCCGTTCACTATCATTAACTTTTACTGCTGCTAGCGTGTTAATTACATGAACTATCAATGTAAAACGTTTTGAAAATAAAAGTATAATACTTTCTTTAATTGCCTCTAAAATCCCGGTCCGATACGTCCAATAGTTAATTAACAATAATTAACGTTAAAAGAATAAGGGTAGGTGAAATAGGTGTAAAAATAAGCTCCATTTAATGCAAAAAGAGCGAATTCCCGAGCGGCTGACCTTGAGACAACTTAATTTCAATTTTTTGAAATTTTTCTTTTTCGATACGTTTCATTGGAACAATTAGAACCTATATCTACGACATTAACTTCTAAAATTAACGTTTAGTAAATAAACAATTAGTTGCAAAAAACGAATGAAATTAATTAACAAATAGAACAAATTAGTGAAAAATGACTAGATACCTTAAATTGTAGATAATTTAATTACCTACAACATAAAATAACTAATATTCCGAGAGGTCGTCTAGATTTTCGTGGGCAGTAAAAAAAATGAAAAAAATACGTAATTTTGCCAGTTATTTGCAATTTGCCAACTTAACATCACTCCTTTCGAGTTAGTTTTTTGATATTATCATTTATGCACTTTAGTGCAATAAAACGTCTATTAACAATTTTTTCAAGTTCAAACTCTAATTCGACTGGAGTATTATTTAAGAATCTCAACAGAAGACAAACCGTATCAGATTTATCTCTCCCGTCTTAAATTGGTTACAAAATATAAACGGTTTAGTTAAAGACTGCGAAAAACAGAAATCGGGAAGTGTTATGGCCCATCGATAGCCACGACGTTGAAAAACTGGATAATTTATTACGAAATAAATCTCGTAAAACTTATCAGAGACGAACCATTCCAATCGTTTTAGAAGCTAGCGCTACAGTCACAAAAACAAAATGCCATGCCATTTTAACGCGTTTAACTCGATTCTGTTCCAGTTTTAGCCAAGATTTTTTAAAGGAAGATATAAGTTGACCCGCTGAAACTTTAAAAATTAATATTCTGGCTTGCAAAGAACGTAAAGCTATATTTTAAGTGCCATATCAGACATATTAAAGAGTTCGACCATGTCATTTTAAATTATACAGGATGATTCGAGCAGGCTCAGGGTAGCCGAGTGTAGGGGGCCCTAAAATATGGTGTTTTGGCGCAACTTACCTCCGTACCAAATTGCTTCGTTTAACCGCTAGATGGCGTTAAAGTCGAAATAAATTTTAGGTTTTTTCCAAATAAATCTAAAACGCTTTGTCTGATTTAAGGAGGTTCGATACCGAAAAAAAAATGGTAAGAAAGTTTTCAAAATCAATGAAACCTGTTAATAAATATGCCAACTGGCTCGTGTAAAAATATCAGATCGATTACCAATATAGTTTTTTTTTGAAAAATGATATTAAAAATTATGCTCTTATACACAGGCTCTTATGGGAGTTGGGAAAAAACTTTAATCAAACGTGAATATTGCTCTTAAAAATGGTTAGGATCGGGAAAATAAAATTGTAATTAAATAATTAAATATTACTAAACGTTTTAAAACAATAAAAATATGCACTTACAATGTAATTATTGAGATAATGGAATGAATATATAACGTTTTGACAAATTTGAACACACATCTGATCCAATAAAAGGAAATATGGCAACACTGTACGCTGTATTTAACGCTTCGACTGACGCGCTATATTTGAATAGCTCGATTATAGACTATATAATTATTCTAGTTGAAAACATATGTAGTAATAATTAATATTAAATACATTTTTCGTGATCTAATGCAATATAATAGCAATTTGAAACAAAAATTGAAAGGATTTCGTTGCAAAACGAACAGTATAGATGTTCTGTCATAATTTTCAATTTGACAAGGCGACGTATCACTGGTATCACTATCATACACTGAGCTTTTTTTCACTTTTTTCTCATCAATCCACATTCTGCTTCATACGCATTTTATATTGCTTTTCAGTCATTACTTTTCCTTTGTATCTTGGATGTTCATTCATGTTTACGGAATACGCGCAAAGCACAGGTGACAGTAATGAATGACAGTTGACCCAACTTTTACCACCACGTCATGGCAGTGGCAATGATGCCAGATTTTATCAATAATTTTACAAGCTATTAGTGAATAAATAGACACTTTTATTCAAATAAAAAGTTAATTGCCGTGCATTAAACACAAAAAATGTAAGCAAGCTAATATGTGTTGTATAAATTTCGTTCGTATATATTATAATTAGTTCGCTCAAATTAGTTTATGTAAGGTTGGTACTACAACGAAACTACCGTGTATAAGCATAGGCTTCCCTCCCGCACCGCCTGCCCCGCAAGAGATGTAAGGAACCTCCTTAAATCAAACTTGGTATGCTAGTTTTTATGTACAGTTGTCACTTTTTGACATAATATCCGAAGTAACTGCATTTATAGAATTTATATAAGGAAAAAAAACCCCGCCACCAAGCAAATACGATCATATCTTTTTGAAGGTAATGTCACAGCCTCAACTTTTATTTTATACCTTAAAGACACGGGTTTCTGAAATTTTTTCTCTCTTGTGCATTTTTTGTTTTCGCATAATTATTTATGCTTAGGAATGGTGAACTTTTGATAGTATTTATGCACACTATTATGTGTTCAGTAAAACGACTGTTAAACTCAAATTTTTCGGAAAACGATTAATAAAATAATATTCTCATATGGGGTGTACCTACTTTATCGGTGACAAAAAATGCTTATTAAAAATAAGTAAACATCATTTGAGGAATATTAACAGAAAATTTTAGAATTAAAATAAACACAAAGTTCAAAAGTACTTTAAAAAACAGGCCCCTAGTATTTTTATTGTACTACTTAGGATCAATTATTATTATTAGAACTATACGTGATTTAAAATAATAGGTAATTAAGATTAAATTTCTCGGCAAAACATTTGCAACAAGTAAACAAACCTTTTTGTATATGTATTTATACAGGGTGGTCGCGATGTAATGGGCCAAAATTCATGAGTAGGTTCCTGACGTGAAAATATTGCGATTTAGACAAACTCACCTTAGTCCAAAAGTTGATACTTACAGAGATACAGGGTGTTTAATGCAAAATATTATTTTAGTTTTTTCTTATTTATTTCATAATAAATGCTCATATCGAGATGAAATTTTGGTGTTAGGGGTTTTCTGGGGCGAGAGATTGAAATATATCCATGGTTTGCTTGTAGCTCATAGAGAGCGCCACCTGCGCTAGGTCGAATGCGTTGAAAACGGTAGAACTTTTTTATCTTTCAAAAATCTAATTCTCAGGTAGCAAATTCTGATTTTACAACTTCTTTTACACAAAAAAGCTATACTTTTTGATCTGTTGCCCCAGAAAACCCCTAACATCAAAATTTCATCTCGATATGAGCATTTATTATGAAATAAATAAGAAAAAACTAAAATAATATTTTGCATTAAACACCCTGTATCTCTGTAAGTATCAACTTTTGGACTAAGGTGAGTTTGTCTAAATCGCAATATTTTCACGTCGGGAATCTAGTCATGAATTTTGACCCATTACATCGCGACCACCCTGTATAAGCCCTGTACTATCATCATTATAAATAAAATATGCCTCTATATGCAAATAAATATTCCTTATTGTTTTTATAGGAAACAATTCCTTCCGACAATGACGGGGCGAAATGGCTGAAGTCTTGGAGCAAATCTGTAAACAAAAACAAGCAAAAAGATACCCTTGCTTTCAGACCCAAACCAGGGTTGGGCGTAGGAGAGATAGATGCCAAATCTGTTATCCCAGAAGATACCGTACTATTAGATCAAGAGAAAAGGAAGAAGCAGCAAGAGAAACCAACAACAACGGCTAAGGAAGGTGCCTTAGATAGTGTCAATTTAGAATAAACCACGGTGCTATATTAGTTACTTAGAATTGTACATTTGTAAATATTTTAAGAAAATAAATAAATTTGGGTGCTAATGGAGACCTTGGCCATGAAAACTGAGGTGAAGGTTAAATCTAAGGTCACCATCCGATTTGTGATTTAATAAACTACAAATTTTGCTTTAAATATTTTCCTCTACAATTCAATCTTTTCGAGTTATTCGGAGAAAAATTAGTTTGACTTTCAAATAACCTGCGAAAACATACTGGACGAACTTTTCTGACCCTATATTCGGACGTATTTGGTACTGTATAGATAGCTGGCATAGAAACAGGTTTATGTTCAGGTTAACCTCGATTTGACCTTGAAAATAAAAGGTCAAAGTTAAATTCGAGGTACACAATTTTTATCTGAAACTTTTTTAATAGTACTCAATCTGGAAAAGTTCTCGATATAGGAATTTTTTAAAACGAGTGAGAACACATCAGCCTCAACACCAAAGATAATAATTCGGTATGTAAAAATAAAATGAAAATTTTTATAATATTGAATAAAAATTAGAAATAGAAAAAACAAAAACAAACAAAAAAACAAAACGAAAAACAAAAAAAGAAATAATAAATAAAAATAACAAAACAAAAAAACAACCGTTTTAAAGTCTGCTACCTTGACGCGGTAAAAGGCCTCAAGTCTTATATACTTAAATAAAGATAAAGAAATGCAGTCCATCGAATAATTTCCGTAAATAATAATTCTTTAGCTGAAATTGTTGAAATTTTTATAATTTATTGAATGAAATTTTATCTATATATATATATCAAAATATCCACAATTTTTTGTGGATTTGAGAATAAGTTTGAAGGGTTTGAGGTTAGGTTTTCATCGACACAGCATAGGTTTGAGGCTTCAGAAATACAAAATATTAGCTCCAGAATAGAGTTTTCAAGGAGTCGCATTGTTTGGTTTGGAAAATATCCTTCGTTTGACTTTCTAACTCAGATTTCTTGGATTTGTTGTAAGATATTTAAGAATAGAGGTGAGGGGCTTCAAAAATAAAAAATATAAGTTCCAGAAAGTAGTTTTCAAGGTCTTTTATTCTTTGGTGGGGAACATATGGGGCGTTCCACGCCAAATCGGACGGTTCGAAAAATTTTAATTTTCGATTTCCTTAATTTTTTTATATTTTTTAGTACCCCTCAAAAATGCCTTTCTGGTAAATTTTCAGATTTTTTTGATTACTTGTTCAAAAGATATAAAATTTTCAAGAAAACGCTCTTTTTTTGGTTTTTTGATCATAACTTTCTTAATAATGGTCCAAATTAAAGCTTTTTTTATAAAAATATTTGTTTTTAGATGGCCTTTACAGATAAAAATACAAAAGAAATATTCAAAGTGTTTTTGATTAAGATTTTTAAGTTTAAAATTTTAAATCGTGTTTTTGAAAGTGAGTGTATCTTTCGATTTTTGTGAAAATTTTCTATTTCAAACTACTATTCTTTTAACAACTTTTAGGACCGGTCCGGTCGTGGGCCCTCCATAATTACTATTTTTTTTTTGATTTTTGAAATTTAAAACAAAATTTTTCTCTATAAATCATTATAAGTACCGATTTTTGTATACCCTTTTTTACTTATTTTAAATTAATATTAATACTTTTTAATTATTAATAGGTGTTTAAAATCAATAAGTAAACGTTGTCTATTTATAAACAATGATAACAAACGTTTTTATTTATTTTCGTGTTCTTTTAAAAATTGTTTCAAAATTATTTTATCAATGTTTTTTTTTGTTGCAAAGTATTTTTTTTTATTTAAATAATAGTATCTTTATGAATTTCTATTCTATTTAAAAAGAGTCGCACATCTTATGATTATTATTGATGTCAAATTTTCACCTGAGAAACACTATTTAGATGCAAAAGAAAAATTAAATTTGCGATACAATATAGGGACCCAAAAATTTCATTCAATCATTCTAAGGAGCAATGGAAATATATTAGGTAAGGAGTATTCTAGTTTACAAAATAATATTTTGTTCCTTGGAATGATTGAATGAAATTTTGGGTTTGTTTGGGTTTGGCTGTATTGTAACGCAAATCTAATATTTTTTGCATCTAAATAGTGTTTCTCAGCTGAAAATTTGACAGCAATATTCATAAGATGTGCGACTCTTTTTAAATTGGATAGAAATTCATAAAGATACTATTATTTAAATAAAAAAAATACTTTGCAACAAAAAATAGCATTGATAAAATGATTTTTAAAAGAACACGAAAATAAATAAACACGTTTGTTATAATTGTTTATAAATAGACAACGTTTAATTATTGATTTTAAACACCTATTAATAATTAAAAAGTATTCAAATTAATTTAAAATAAGTAAAAAGAAAGTAGACAGTGACAAAAATCAGTACTTATGATTTATAGATATATTTTTTTTAATTTTCAAAAATCAAAAAAAAAAAATTAATTATGGAGGGCCCATGACCGGACCGGTCCTAAAAGTTGTTAAAAGAATAGTAGTTTGAAATAAAATATTTTCACAAAAATCGAAAGATACACTCACTTTCAAAAATACGATTTAAAATTTCAAACTCAAAAATCTTAATCAAAAACACTTTGAATATTTTTTTTGTATTTTTATCTGTAAAGGCCATCTAAAAACAAAGATTTTTATAAAAAAAAGCTTTAATTTGGACCATTATTAAGAAAGTTATGACCAAAAAACCAAAAAAGAGCGTTTTTTTTGAAAATTTTATAACTTTTGAACAAGTAATCAAAAAAATCTGAAAATTTACCAGAAAGGATTTTTTGAGGAGTACTAAAAAATATAAAAAAATTAAGGAAATCGAAAATTTAAATTTTTCGAACCGTCCGATTTGGCGTGGAATGCCCCATATACATTCTATAAATTTCTAGCTCAAGTTTATAGGTTTGGGCTAGGTTTTTATGGGTGTAGGTTTATGGCTTTCGAGTTAGGAAATATAAGCTCAAAAATATAGTTTTCAGGTAATTATATACACAGATTTAGAAAAGAGTCAGTGTATTACTTTGAGGTTAGGTTTGATGAATTTGAGGTTATGTTTTCGGGTTCAGGTTTAAGGTTGAAAAGTATTGTGAAGCTACATGATTTTTTCGTTGTTTAATCAACCTCAGATATGAAATTTTTATTTTTAAATTCCGTATTATCGTTAGTGTTGAGGCTGAGGTTTTCACTAGATTTAAAAAATTCCTATAATAGACACATCAAAGTATCGCACCAGGATCAAAGCCCTATTTTCAACATTAAATTTGAATTATAAATAATTACGATAGAGATTAGGGTGTTGGGACATTTTTATAGGAGGTTTTCTCTTCTTTTAGGATCTTTTTTCAGATTGACGCTAACGCGTATATTTTTCGAATTATTTGCAAAAAAACAAACACCTTTTTTAAATTTTTAACTGTTTATAACTTTTGCAATTGTTTATGTGCGAATACGATTTTTATGCACATTTTTCTAGACGTCATCCCGAATCGAATTAGCCCTGAATCATCCTTTAAATCGAATTATCAGTATTTTTCACGGTTTTGAAGTTGTTAACAAACTAGTTTTTGTTTGTTTTTCGAAATTATCAGTATAAAGTGTCAATTCTGCACTGACTACAAGTAGATATAATTTAAAATTGATATTTGATATTTACTTCACAAATATTGTAGGCCTAATTTGTGTAAGAATTGAAGTAGAAAAATCTATACATATAAACACAGCAAAATCACTTTTATAAGAGGCTTGATTTAAGTGATAAAAAACTAAATCACATATAAAACCGATTTTAATAAAAAAGCAATAAGGTCATTTAAGCAAAATAAAATTAAATCTGACACGTCACATTTTTTTTTACAAAAAATCAAAAAGATCAACCTTCTGAAGAGAGTACATATTTTTTCATAACAAAATTTCCCTGTTTTTTCCTGGTTTGGATTTACTATGACCCTCCAAAGTTCCGTACATGAAAATTATATCAAATTTTGATTAAATACCGACTAAATCGGGATTAAAGTAAAGTAATATGGTCCATTCTACTTACACAAAGTTTCTGTAGTAGTTCGACAACGTGGTCAAACTAGTACACAGCATAGTAAAAAGTTTCCATAGAGTTTCTAGTGGTCAGAGAACAATTCGAACCCCTAAATGAGTATTTACCCACATTCGACCAGTGACGTACGTCGCCGGTTCCTAATTTTTTTACGTAAGTACACTTTCGACCCCTTGTCGAAACTTATTTAATTATGTAACTATCCAATCATTATTTATTAGTAATTCTTGTAGCACTTTACTTTGATATCCCTTGAAGTATTCGATAAAAAGAAATTTTAAAGTAGATAAAAATTTAATTTTTTGTATCGGGTGCACTCAGTGGGCTAATGGACATCCATGGGTCCACATGTAATTGTTTAAGAACCACTCGAATACCCAACTATCACAAATTTCAATTAAAATACATTCATTACCACACATTTATCTCCTACGATTGAAGTTACCTGCTTAACTCTACCTACTTCTAAGTGTGTTTTTTGTGTAGTACAAGGTAAAAATCGAGGTAAAAATAGTGATAAGGTGACCGATATTTCCACGTCCTTTAGGTAGGTAATTTGTAGGCCATCCATTACACCCGACAAATTGGGGCTATCTTTCAACAACCGGTCAACTGGAAAATGGATAAAACAATATACTTACGTAGAACCGTTTGCATGTTCTCGTTCTAAATTTAACATAATCACTTCTGTGTTTATATACACATACAATAAAATTTAACAACTTTAAAGCAAATATGTTCAAAACTAATTTTAATGACTAATACGAACCAGACGACAGCAATTCAAGGAGTTTATGATGCTGTTAGCGCAAACTTTAAATTTTTAACTCGTATATTTAGGTAGGTATCTAGTAATCACTGACTAGTACCTACAAACCTACATAGATATTATCGAGATGTAAACCAGATGCTTTTTTGTTTACAAAAATGATTCATAATTTGCATATACTATAATAATTATGTTAAAATATATAGAATCTTCTTTTGCGCCATGATTTAGAATCACGATGAAATAGTAG